AAACTAGGTTTTTAATTGCCTAACATTTCCTGGGTAAATAATAACAACCACAGTGGAATCTTCCGAATTGATTTAAATGAATATTTCCAGAGGGCTCTAGGTACAGGGGAATTGCCCTTCAGAATCTTCAACTTTCCAGACAATTCCATCAGAATCTGCTACATCAGGGATTCTGCAACTCATTGTCTAAGCTGCGGAACTGACTATCCGGCCATCAGAAAGTCCCTCTTTTAATTCTGAATTACTAGAAATATTCTGGACGATATGAATATATCAACAAGTTGCATTTTTAGGTCTAAATAGGTGAGGAATTTGAAAGGAAACATGATAAATCAAATATGTTCTCTTTTCAGAATCCGTGCACTTGGATTCTTGGCATACATGAGGAAATTAATTTAAAATCAAATGGATCTAACCAAATTTGTAGACGCAGTTACGTTTTGTCTTTCCAGTGCATTCTGTTCACACCTCTGCCATCTGCGTGCGCGTTCATAACCACTCAAGCCACCTTAACCAATCCTGTGTGGGTATTCATTTGATGGACAGTGCCTGGGACTGAAAGTTGAAATCTTATGTCAATGAATGCAGCTCTCCAGTCCTCTCTGTGGTGTTCTATTCCTCGCACCCACTTATCATTGGTGGAGGGAAAAGCGGGAGATGACAGGAGTTAATTCAGACTGATTAACTCATGAAGCACAGCATTGACGATTTATACAGAAAAAGTCTTGAGCCCAGGCCTTCGAAGTCACTAGCCCTGGTTGTTGCACTTTCGGCACCTCTTTTTTTTTTTGGGAGCTTTGCCTCCGTGTTCTGTTTCTTCACTCTCCCTGCCATACTGAAGCCAAATGTAGTGATAATTATAGCACCCATGATTGAAAGTAAATGGTCTGAGCAGAACCTTGAAGTAAGGCTTATAACTTTAAAAAGCAGTCAAAAACTCATAGTATTTCAATGCACTATAGCAACAGCCAGTAGAAATCAATCAGCAATTAACATGAAAGTTTTCTTTATCTATTCATGCAAGTCTTGGTGTTGCTAGCTAGGCAAACTTTTATTATCCATTCCTAATTGCCCTGCAGAAGATGGTAATGAACTACCTTCTTGAACTGCTACAGTCTCTGGGGTGTAGAAACACCCATAGAAATGTAATGAATGGAGTTCCAGGATTTTGACCCATAACTCATAAAGAAAGAGCAATACAGTTCCAATTCAGGATGTTGTGTGTCTTGGAGGGGGCATTCCCATGGTGGTACTCCCATGCATCTGCTGACTTTGACCTAGGTGGTAGAGATCACAGTTTTGGAGCGTGCTTTCAGAAGAGCCTGGGTAAGATGCAGTAGTGCATCCTGTGGATGGTACACATTGCTCAGTAGTGAATCATAGAATTCTGACAGTACAAATAGAGGCCATTCAGAGCATCAAGTCTGCACCAATCCTTGGAAAAGCATCCCACCCAGACCCACTCCCCATTAACAATGGCCAATCCACATACCTGGACACTAAAAGGGCAATTTGGCATGGCCAGTCTGCATATCTTTGGACTGTGGGAGGAAACCAGAGCACCAAGCAGAAACCCGCACAAACACAGGAAGAACATGCAAACTCCACACTGTCACCCAAGGCTGGAGTTGAACTAGGGTCCCTGGCCCTGTAAGGCAGCAGTGCTAACCACTATGCCACCCTGCCGCAGAGTGAATGTTGAGGGTAGTATATGGGGTCCCAAATGGAAGCAAAACAGCAATGTTGGCACTGAAAATACCAAGCATGGGGTTTTGAGGCTCGTTTGTTCAATAAGTATTTTTTGATTTGATTGATTGATTGAAGCCCCACATTATTGTTTGCCCTACTGACATTGGTCCCAGCTCTCCTGTTGAGGGCACCATGCTGAAATAGATCTCTAATTACTTTAGGGTACTACGTTAAAATTCATTTAACATCAAAGATTGTGGATAACTATGAATAAGATGAACAGCAAATGCTGTTTGCTCACCACTGACTGTAAAATTCAGTGCCACCAGTCTCCATATAATATGGATATATACATAGCACGTATGTAATTCTCAGCTGTGCTACCTGCCTGATAGGGGAAGCAATGGCTTAGTGGTATTATCATTGGACTATTAATCTAGAGACCCTGGTAATATTCTGGGCATCCAGGTTTGAATCCCACTGTGGCAGATGGCAGATGGTGGATTGTGAATTCAATTAAAATCTGGAATTAAGAGTCTACTGATGACTATGAATCCTTAATAAAAACCAAAAGAACTGTGGATGCTGTAAATCAGGAACAAAAACAAAGTTGCTGGAAAAGCTCAGCAGGTCTGGCAGCATCTGTGGAAGAGAAAACAGAGTTAATGTTTCGGGTCTGGTGACCCTTCCTCAGAACTGATGATGGCTGGGAAAACGTCAGTTTATATGCAGAAAATAGGGAGGTGGGTGGGGTAGGGAGTAAACGATAGGATAGAGCCCAAAGAGAGAGAAAGACAGTTGGACAGACAAAGGAGTTGCTAACGATCAGGCTGGGAGGGTGAATAGTTGTTAATGGGGACTGTTAGTGACTAACAACAGGGGGTGTGAGGTGGTAGACTATGTGGTAACAAGGCCTGGTGTGTGGGGTGGGCACTGGGACATGGGAGAGTTTAGGGCCTAAAATTATTGAACTGAATATTGAGTCCAGAGGGCTGTAGGGTCCCCAAGCGGAAAATGAGGCGTTGTTCCTCCAGCTTGCGCTGGGTTTCACTGGAACACTGTAGCAAGCCGGAGACAGAGATGTTGGCCAGGGAGCAAGGTGGTGCATTGAAGTGGCAGGCAACAGGTAGTTCAGGATCTTTTTTGCGAGCAGAACGTAGATGTTCTGCGAAGCGGTTGCCAAGTGTACGCTTCGTTTCCCCAATGTAGAGGAGACCACATTGTGAGCAGCGAATGCAGTAGACTAGATTCTTGGAAGTGCAGGTGAAGTGTTGCTTCACCTGGAAGGTATGTTTGGGCCCTTGGATACTTGGGGAGGGAGGAGGTAAATGCGCAGGTGTTGCACCTTCACCGGTTACAGGGGAAGTTGCCGTAGGGCTGTGAGGAGGTGTTGGTGTTGAAGGAAGTATGGACCAGGGTGTCCCGGAGGGAACAGTCCCTGCGGAAGGCGGACAAGGGAGGGAAGGGGAATATGTGTCTGGTGGTGGCATCTTGCTGGAGGTGGCGGAAATGGCGTCTGATGATCTGGATGTGGATGCTGGTGGGATGGTAGGTGAGGATAAGGGGAACCCTATCGCTGTTGCGGGAGGGAAGAGAAGGGGTGAGGGCAGAAGTGTGGGAGATGGGTTGGACCCGATTGAGGGCCCTGTCGACAACGGAGCTGGGGAATCCTCGGTTGAGGGAGAATGTGGACGTTTCGGAGGCTCCCTTGTCGAAGTTGGCCTCATCTGAACATATGCGACGGAGACAGAGGAACTGAGAGAATGGGATGGAGTCTTTACAGGAAGTGAGGTGTGAGGATGTATAGTCCAGGTAGCTGTGGGAGTCGGTGGGTTTGTAATGGATATTAGTGGCCAGTCTATCCCCAGAAATGGAAACGGAAATGTCGAGTAAGGGAAGGGAAAGTGAGGGCAGGGTGGAAATTGGAGGCGAAATTGAAGTTTTCCAATTCTCGATGAGAGAGGGAAGCAGCACCAATGATATCATCGATATATCGGAGAAAGAGTTGTGGGTGGGGGCCGGAATAGAACTGGAACAGGGAATGTTCCACGTACTCCATGAAGAGACAGGCATAACTAGGGCTTGTTGTTTGTCAGGGGGGGGGAAACCTGTCTGGTTCAATAATGCCCTTTAGGGAAGGAAATCTGCTATCCTGTCTGGCCTACATGTTGACTCTTAACTGCTCTCTGGGCAATTAGGGATGGACAATAAACATGCACATGCAACATGCTCATTCTGTGAATGAACAGAAAAAAGGTACTGCCCTAGAAGTAGGCTTAAATGTCTAATCATGCGTTGAATGATTTTCAGTGTGATGGTTTTATGACATCCAAACCCCTTAAAGAGTTATTATCTTATAACACAATTAAGACCATTAATTAAGTTAATTGTAACGGATGCCTAGGAATGACATTCTGTAAATAAAAACAAAATCAGTAAGACTAGAAATGGGTTTTCTCCAAGAAATATTATTCTCAAGTCAGGATATCATTTATAAATAAAATATTTTTACCTCCATATATTTAATCACTCATTGAAGCCATCATATACAATATGTTTATTTTTGTATGACCTTTTCCTACACTTAATGAGGATATGAAAAATGATTGATGTACTAGGATCACAATACTCAGTGCACTGATGAGTAATTACAGAACATCTATGCATGCACCAGGAATTCTACGTAATCAATATAGTTTAGTATGTTTAATTCCCTGATTTAAATCAGAATTATGTAAAGAAAAGGTGTTATTTAGCAGTAAGAGCACATTGGCTCTCTAGATTACATAAACATCTCCATCAGAAAAATACTTCTCAGAAATTAAACTCTTATAAAATATTTCAATTTCCATATACTAAAGAAGGGATGTCTGAAGAATACTTAATGTGGTCAAAAACAACAAAAAATTACACCTTTAAACAGTTAGACTAATGTTTTGATTTATAGTATTTTATCTGCTTATGTAACGGTGTCAATGGTTTGTGTAGCTTTCCATTTTTTGCAATAGCACTGCAGAGATGCATAAATAAAGCAGTTGCTTTTGAATCATTTCCAATTCTTTGCATGCCATAGTTATAACATACTTTTCTTTTTAATTATGTTTGTTTTCCATATTTGTTAATTATTCATCATAAATAACAAATCTGATTTGTTTTCTTGTTACTCACCATGATGGAGTGACTAATTCTGTATCTGCCACGATTTCATAGTCATCTTGCAAATTAGTGGATTTAAATAAATGAGCATCATATGATTTTTCTTGCATTCAGCCAACATTTTATTGTAAAGGTGTCCCTATTTTTATCTGCAGAGGTCCTTGATGGAAAAGAGATAAATAATACAGTCAGACAGTTTTTATTAAACTGGAAAGCTTTCCGAGAAGCCAAGAAGAAAATTGCCACGGAAAAGCCAGAGGAGCAGGCTACACAACAGACGTTAGGTACATTACATAAATATTTTAATCACTTTATTTTCAATTAATCCAGAGACCCAGATAATGTTCTGGGGACCCGGGTTTGAATCCCGCCACAGCAGATGGTGGAATTTGAATTCAGTAAAAAAAAAAAAATCTTGAATGAAGAGTCTAATGATGACCATGAATCCATTGTCGGTTGTTGGAAAAACCCATCTGGTTCACTAATGTCCTTTAGGGAAGGAAACTGCCATCCTTACCTGGTCTGACCTACATGTGGCTCCGGACCCACGGTAATGTGGTTGACTCTTAACTGCCATCTGGGCAAATAGGGATGGTCAAGAAATGCTAGCCTAGCCAGTAATGCCCTCATCCTGTGAATGAATAAAGAAAAAAAGTGAAACAGAAAATACTAAGGATATGTGCAAAATAGGATGTGTATCAAATGGATAGAGAAAAAAGAAAGTGCTGGGGTAACGAAGCAGGTCTGGCAGCAGCAGTGCAGACAGAAGCAACTTTAATGTTTCAGTCCAATATGTCTTGTACAGAACTGAGAGAGGCTGAAAAGTGATAGTTTTATGCTGTTGACATGGGTGGAGAAGGAGCAAATAAGACAGATAATGAGGATGTCCAGAATAAAATACAAAGGGAGTGCCAGTGGCAGCAGCAGAGAGATATAGATACAAAGTAGGTATGTGTGCATAGTAGAAAATAAGTCAACTTTCTAGAAACAAACCCATGCAAACAACTGTGGGTGGGTAATAGGGGAAGGGGCTTTAATTAAAATGGAGGACTGTATTCACGCTCTAAAGTTGTTGAACTCAGTGTTTTGTTCTGAAAGCTGTAAAGTGCCTATGTGGAAAATAAGGTGCTGTTCTTCCACCTCGTAGTGGACTTCACTGGAGCACTGCAACAAGTGTGGGACAGAAATTTTAACAGGATGCTATTCTGAAACAAACAAAATCCATGACCATTACCATCTAGAAAGCCAAGGACAGCAGATACATGGAAACACTGCTACCTGCAAGTTCCCCTGCAAGCTACTCACCATCCTGACATGAAAATATATCACTCTTCCTTCACTTTAACCGGGTCAAAATACTGAAACTCCCTCCCTAATGGCTTTGTGGGCCTACTTACAGCAAATAGACCATTGTGGTTCAAGAAGGCAGCTCAGCACCACTTATCAAGGCCAGAAACGCCTATGTTCCAGAAGTTAAATTCTAAAAAAAAATTAAATAGCAAGCAACTGGAGCATCGGGGTTATTCTTACGGATGGAACAGAGGTATTCTGCAAAGCAGTCACACAGTCTGCATTTCTTCTTGCCAATGTTAAGGAGACTGCATTGTGATTAGTGAATACAGTAGATTAGAATGAAGAACCTGCAGGTAAACTGCTGCTTCATGTGGAAGATGTCTTTGGGGCCTTGGACATTGAGGAAAAAGGAGGTAAAAGGGCAAGCATTACACCTTCTGTTAGAATTCTGATAGAATTAGAAGATGCTATGGAGGGATGAGCAAGGGTTAGGAGGCAGAGGAGTAGACCAGCATTTCAGGGAGAGAACAGCACCTGCAGAATGCTGTTAAATAGGGGAATGCACAATGTGTTTGGTGATGGCACCCTGCTGGAAGAGGCGGAAATGGCTGTTGGAGTGGAGTGTGAGGACAAGTGGAACTGTATTGATGTTTAGAGATGGAAGGGAAGGAATGAGGGCAGAAATGTGGGAAATGGGTCAAACATGGTTGAAGTCCCTGTCAGTCATGGTGACAGGGATCCTAGATTGATTAACAAGAGAAAGAAGATATTTTGGATACACCCAGTGGAAGATGACATTATTGGAAACAGATGCAAAATGAAATTGCACAGTGAGTGCAGACTGAAGAAATTAAAAATAAAACTGACAAGCTTCAAGCAGGATTTGATATTGTGAACCTTTTTTTATTTTCCCCCTTTACAGAATTGTCAATTTGTACACTGTTAATGCAATGTTAATTCATTGTTCATTAATGAAGAAATGTAACAATGACATCAGCTCCTAGGACAAGATCTCCCTTGTCTGCGCCAAATGTCTATGGGAAGGATCCCAATATTTTGAGATCCAATGATGGCAAAATGAAGAGGAAAAGTGAGAGTGATGAAAAGAACAAGCCTTGACTCAAATTAATAACACATAACCAGACTTCCAACAAGACAACAGATGCTTTATGAGCCAGAAGGCCTGAAGATCCTGAATTGGCCTAATTGGCCATCTTCAGACTCATGAAAGACAATCATCCTTGACTGCAAGGGATAGCTAATAATAAATGGTATTTCTCAAAAAGAAAAGCTGGATAAATTTCACATTCAGAACAGAACTGAAGGCTATGAGTGCAAGTCAGGAATATTGAGTGGTAATTGATATATAATAGTTGCAAGGTGCTGGAACCATGGAAATGTTGCACTAAGGACAGTAATTCTATTAGAATATATTAAATACATTATATTATTCTTTTTTCAAATATTCTTTTGTTTTGCTTGTTTTTCCTGAGAAGCAGAGAGAATCTGAATGTAGGATGATTTAATTTATTTCATGATATGTATTATTGAAGTATTGTTGAAGGACTGAGCTTTATGAGTTAAATTGTCTTTTATTAATACATATATGCTTATTATCTTGAGGTGTTATACATATACTGGAAAAAGTAGAAAATGGAAAAAGTTGAAAAAAATATTAAAAATTGAAGTTACTATTAATTGAATTGAATTGAAGTGGAGTTGACAAGCCAATGCTATAAACTGATACATTCATTTCAGTCACTTTAAAAATAATATATTGTAAAAATGAGCCTCTATATTAATTTTTGTTTTCTTCTGTTGGTTTAAAATGACCTAATGTGATTTTCCTACAAGATCATCCACAAGTAATTCGGAATCATGCACTTAGAAGCTATACAACTCCTGGTATTCGTAGATTCAGGAAACCTGTTGATCATCTTACGAAGACTCCCAGCTTTTCATACTCTAGAGATGATGGAAAAAGTGTTTTACCACCAGTACTTGAATCTAAGGGCATGGGTGATGGTGTGGAAAGAATCGGGTAAGGCGCTACCATCTTCTGACATGGCCAAAATATGGAAAAATTAACTTTAATTTGATGGAATGCAACCCTTTACTTAATTAATGTCCAGTTCTAATATGCAATAGAGTGGGCACCTTTGTCCAGAATTAGTTAGGTTATTATTTCCTAATGCCAGTCTTGTGGCACAGTGGTAGCCAGAAAATTCGGAGTTCAAGTTCCATTCACAGCCATCAGATTTAGTATTAACTTGTAAGTCCTTCCAACATATGCCAATGACAAGTGGTAAGAGTGGGAGAGCTTCCTGGTTAGTCATGTGATGAAAAGAAAATTGGAGTCTCTACCATTCCTATCAGTAGCTCTGGGACAAGACTACAACATGCATGTATAAGTGCATGTTGCCATAATAACTCCAGCTCCTTGATGAGGCGGGGATGAGGGGATCAGTTAGCTCAGTTGGATTAACAATCAGTCTGGATTGGAAAGGTGGGAGAGAGAGACACAGGTTGCATGGTAGAACAAAAGGAATGGAAGACCGGAATACATGTTGGAGAGACAGAGACTGAGGGGGTTGAGAGAGATGGGAAGGCTTCAAAGTGGTAAGGGAATGGGAGGCTGCAAAGAGGAATGAACAGTTTCAAACTTGTCAATAAATGTCTCTCAGCTAACTAGGAGCTAGGAAATCTTGAAATCACTGCAGTAATGAATTACTTGCAAATGACTATGGAATCTCTGGCTTTAGGCTGCATAAGTTCAGGAGCTACTACATAGGAAAAATTAAGTGGACGCTATTGTAAAGAACACTGTCAATTATTGAATTTAAATCTGAGTTTCAGTAAGTGTTGTAACAGCCTTGGTAAAATATTCCAGCTTTGTAAATATCTGATGAAAACACACTAGTTTTTCCCGATCTGCCCTGCAGAAGTGCTGAAAGTAATGACTTTTTACATTTTTAAGTGTATGTCAGTTATTTTGAACACAAGTTTGTTGTTAATGTATGCCCATTATCTTTATCCAATTTAAATACAGTGATGTCTAGTAAGTTAATGATTTCTTTGTGGTTTTAAATTTAATGGATGGTAAATAATTATTGAGGATATGCTGTTAATTTTATTTCTTCGTGAGTCCAAATATCCAACGTGTCAACATAATAAACAGAATGTAATGTTACTACGTGACTGCATCACCTAATAAAGAACATCATTAGAACGAAAAGTTAGCTCCTGAAAATCAAAAGTAGCCATTGAAGAAATCTCAAGAGCTTTTGTGCACAGCTGCAATGGAAGTAAGGGAGAGGCTTCAAAATGTAAATCCTTATTCCAACATTTTTAAAATGTAAATTAATAGTGGTTTTGGCAGCCATGCCATTACTGTTAGGTGGAGATGGAGAAACTCCCCTGTACAGAGTAGCCAGTGGCTGCTGCATACCCAGGAACGCAAGGGCAAAGGTGACACCGTAGCCTACCTGGAGCACTGGTCATCTGGTCTGCAACTGGGGACTGCCATCAAGCAATTAAATGGGTCCATGTTGCCTGTAGGAACTTGGAGTCTGGCTGGAAAATCTCAGTTGTCTTCCTTTACTTGGCCTTAAGTGACCCTTAATGAGTTGTGTATGCTACCTGTCAGATGTGAGTGTGTGGTCATGCTGCCCATCGTGCACCTCACCCCATCTCATCTTCACAAAAATATTCCAGAGTAGGATGGAGGTGGGGAAACTGGCATGCTATGCAACCAACTGGGCTGTTTCTAACTCTCAGCCTGCCTGTAATCCAAGGCCAGCAGATTTAAATCTCATTATAACCATTATGAGTTACACGACATTAAATAGTTCAAATCTCTATTAGAATGTCTGGTTTTATTTTTCAAAACAATACACAATGTAATAGTTCTCAGCATATTAGGAATTGATTTATAGGTGATCTTTGGATAAAATCTATGTTAATCTATTTGAAAAATGTTAGTTACAAAAATAATTTTATGCACATCAAGCCACATACAGAAATTAACAACTTATATTAGCTGAAAAGTGAAAAGAAAATAAGATGCTTTTTCTGAATTCAAGACGTTATTATATTATTTGTTCTTGTCAGTGTAGTCAGTACCATACAAGTGCTGAACAAAAGCTTCCACAATGCAAAAAATAAGAGATAATGAATGTTAAAGCTAGTACATTGTTGATCTTTGGTGTACCTGTTCTCTGTACTGCACTTTCTGCTAGGTAAACTGTGTAGTTAAAAATAATCAATGAAAATGACAGATTCTGAAAAAAAGCACTCATTGGTTTTATTTCATGTGTGAGCTGAGAGTGACTGTCTTGACCTCAGGGTTGCCTTTAAGCAACCTTGGAGTCAGTGGGAATCAGGAACATACCTGGCACAAAGGAAGATGGTTTTGGTGGTTAGAGGTCAGTCATCTCAGGTCCAGCATCTCTGCAGGAGTTCCTGAAGGTAATGTCCTTGCCTGACTATCTTCATCAAAGCCCTTCCCTCCATCAAAAGGGCAGAAGTGGGGTTGTTCATTGATGATAGCACAATGTTCAGCATTATTCTCAACTCCTCAGATACTGAAGTAGTCCATGTTCAAGAGCAATAAGATCTGGCTTGGGCTGACATATGTCAAGTAACATTTGTGCCGCACAAGTGTCAGCAACAACATAATTTCCAACAAGAGAGAATCTAGCCATATCCCCTTGACTTTCAATGGCATTGCCATCACTGAATTCTCCCACTATCAACATCCTGAGGGTTAACATTGACCAGAAACTAAACTGGACTAGTCATATAAGTAATGTGCAGGTCAGAGGCTAGGATCCTGCAGCAAGAAACTGACCTCCTGGCTCCCCACAGCCTTTTCACCATCTACAAGGCACAAGTCAGGAGTGTGATGGAATACTCTCCACTTGTGGATGAGTACAGCCCCAAACAACACTCAAGAAGGCAGCCCAGCACCAAATTTTTAAGGGCAACTCGGGATGGGCAATGAAAGTCAGCACAGCCAGTAATGCCCACGTATCACAAGAGAATAAAAAAAACTGAAAAAGTTTCTGTATGAGTTACTTTGGTAATTAGTTTTAATTTATGAGATAAAAGAAGCAATTACTATTTATCTTTGAATATGCCCCCTTAATGTATGTGTTTTGTGTTAACAGAAAACAAAGTCATTTGCAGAGTATCAATTTTCTACCTATTTTATAAAATAGATTTCATAGGGTTACATATTTTTATTCAGAATCTCACTCTAGAATATTTAACTGTCTTGATTACATATTCAGTATGGAATGTAGTATGCCCAACTTTAGTCCTGTTTTAATCAATTTTGCATTGATGTATGTCTTTGACCTTTTGACAACTAGTCACTTTAGATGGTTCAGTAAGAAAATGTAAACATTAGTTTGTTCCTCACATCAAGAATGTTTGGTTGGGTGAAGGTGAAATGGAAAAGATTAATATGTACTTAATGAAGTTTGGAAAATTGAGAGTACAATTAAATAATTGTATGAAAAATAGTAGTTAAAAACAGGTTTTATTTAAACACTTATTTCCTTCCTTTTAGACCCCACAACCCTCCCATCAATAAGATTGATGAATAGCCTAGTGTTTGTACCTTCCAATCCAGTCCCAAAGTTTTTTTTCCCCAGCAAATAAACAATATTTTCTTTTCTGTTAATGACCCAAAGGTTGTATCATTAAAGGAGAAAAGTAGACTTTCAGTCTCAGACGAAGAATTTTAAAAAAAATTTGCACATTGACATTTCATAACAGAGGTCTGCCTTGCTTGATTAATTCTGGCCATGCCTCCTGGGTGGAAACAATGAAATTAGTTCTCCTTCTGGCTATTAGGGATATGGATTTTATTCACTGATACAATGCTTATTCAGACACTAAACAATTTCTGCATCCAGTATATAATTTGTTATATAAGAATTAAGATAAAGAGTTTTTTTTAGATTTACGTATTTTGCTTTAAGTAACACACATTCTATTGTAATTGCAAATGTTAAAGTAGTATTACAGTCAGTTGCAGATAAGTGAATAATGATTTACAACAAAATTGCATCAAGCTTCAGTTCTTACAATATATAGCAAGAAGATACAATGCATATAATGAGAACGCCAAGCATTAAAGAGTCACAGAAGGAGGCCACGCGACCCATTTTATGTACATCAGCTTTCCAACAAGCATTATGACTTAATATTATTTGTCTCCTTTTCTTCATAGTCTTGCATATTGTTTGTGTTCAAAGTGTCATGCAATGCTCTCTTGAATTCCTCAATTGATTCTGTTTCCACCACTTTCAGGCAGTGCATTCCAAACCCAAACCACCCCTGCAAATTACGTTAAATCTATGCCCTTTTACAACCAGAAGAGTTTCTCACTATCTAGTCATACCTCTGATGATTTTGCAACCTTCCTTTAGAACTCTTAGTCTTCTTCTCTCCAAGGACAGCAGTCCAAACATCTCCAATCTGTCCTCATAACTGAAATTTTTCATTCCAGGAACCATTTTGTAAATTTCTTCTGCACTGTCTCCAATGTGTTCACATTCTTTCTTGTAGTGTGGTATCCAGAACGGTACACAATATTCTAGCTGAAGTCTAACAAATGTCTTATATACAAAGACAGAAACTTGTCTTTTGAAGAAGGGTCATTAGACCTGGAAAGTTAACTCTGCTTTCTCTCCACTGATGCTGCCAGACCTGCTGAGTTTCTTTCCAGCAATTTCTGTTTTTGTTTTTGAATTCTAGTATCCACAGTTTTTTTTTGTTAAATGAAATAAGTTGAACATAAATATATATATGGCTACCTATAATTTCTCATATCTAGAAGTCAATTTGAATAATAGGGAAAATGTACGTCCCTAAACAGTGAGCTTTAAAATAAAATTAATATAAGTTGTACAAAACCTTTAAAATAATTTTAAAGCTTTGGTAAAGATAACTGAAATCTGAAATGTTTCATTCTTTTCATACCGTAGTTATTACTTTGTAAGATAGTGATTAGTATAGTTAATTTATTTACTA